TAGTTACGGGGTGTCAATAGTTTCTCAACTATAATAGGATATCTTCTTTTTATTTCTAGTCTTTTTTGAGACATGATTTCCCTGTAGACTTAGCTGACCTGGAACCCACTATATAAACCAGGCTGGCATCAATGTCACAGAGATCCACCTGCCTCTGCCTAGAGAGCGCTGATATTAAAGCCTTGTGCCTCTGTCCCAACTCACGTAGGACTTCTTACCCATTTCCCTAATTCTATGCTGGGATTGTTTTCTGGTTTGAGCTTGCATAGGACTTGTGCATGTTGTCACCCTTGATGAAAGTTCATATGACCAACCTCCCAGTGGCCCGAAACACTCTGTATTCTTGTGGTTATCAACCATCTCTGACTCTTAAAATCGTTCTACCCCACTTCTGCAATGATCCCTGAGCCTTGGGTGGCAGATGTTTGATATAGGTGTCATGTTCAGGGATAAGCACTCTGCAGACTCTTTTTTCTCTGTACTTTTGTCAATTGTGCCTTTCTGGGTTCATCACCATCATTGTATGAGGAAGCTTCCTGGTGAAGGTTGAGACATGCATTAATATTCCCCTCCCCAACCCCGGTTCACTATGTTCTCTGAGCCTTAGGTGTTCAGGTTGCATTGTAGATGTGTCACTTGGTATGGCTATCTCACAGACACTCTGTAATAGTCTCCATCTGTTGAACAATGAAGCTTCCTTGATGAGTTTTGTGGGGTATACTTGGCCTTAAATATAAGGATTCATATCTGGAATACAGTAAGATTTTATTTTAGTCTAGGGGCGTGACAAAAATAGCTTTTTCTCTATGTCCTCTACAGTCATGTGTATTTGGCAGTGTTTACGGTACCACACGTTAGTTTCCAACTGTTGAGCTGGCCTTACATCCAATTAGACAGCTGTTGAATACCCCCAAGATGAAAGTGCCACTACTGTACCAGTAGAGATTTGCTTGGTTGGCCATTGTTGTGGTTCATAGATTTTATAGCTGGATGGAATCATTAACTGGTTTTCTTCCTTGGTAGTTTGCATAGTGTTTTCTGATATGATAAG